GCGAAATGGCGGGGGGCGGGTGGTGAGTGGGGGGCCGCGAAATGGCGGGGAGGGGGAGCAGGAGGCTGCGAAATGGCGGGGGGACCCCCGAGTTCTCCATGTCGCTGGTGTGGGGCCAGCGGCAGCCGGGCCGGGCTGGGGGTGCCCTGGGTAACTGTCAGGCTGGGAGGAAGGAGTGGAGAGAGGAGCATAGAGGCCGGGATGAGGCCGCCAAGCGGAGCCCCAGCGCACTCTGCCCCCCTGCCCGCGGGGCCCCCCGCTCCGGGCGGGTGGCTGGGCCTCGGCAGCCCCTTCGCGCCCTGCTCTGGCAGGAGAGAGGCCTCCGAGCGCCTTGTTCCCAATAGTGCTTCGTGGGGGGAACAACCGCTGCGTGCACGGCGACTTTGACAGTTGGCATCGCCCAGCACTCGCTCTGTTCTGAGGTCCTTGGGTACCCGCATTCCCCCAGGCGCCTCTGATCACGAAGGTGTGAGAACATAAAGGCAGATTTCTTTGGATACTCGTACATCAACGTTTTTCTCTTCCCCTTCTCTGTTCAATTTGTTTATTACTTTGCAGCACAAATAAAGATACAGAATGAGAGACCTATACTAGAGATCTTTAYATTAGAGATATAGAACAAATCTATAGAGACTGAAATACTCTTTTTTTTTTTTTTTAATAGTTTTTTTTTCAGAAATTTTTGTGCTTGCAAAAGTGGGTTAATCCTCCCGGTATTTAATCCTTTTGAAACAGGAAGTGGGCAGCAGTCAGTGACAGGAGTTGAAGCTTCAGATGATGCCAACAGCTACTGGCGGATTCGTGGGAAGAGCGATGGCAGCTGCCAGCGAGGAGCACCGGTGAAATGTGGGCAAGCGATACGGCTCACGCACGTTAGCACGGGGAAGAACCTGCACACGCATCACTTCCCATCACCGCTCTCCAATAACCAAGTGAGTTATTCCCAATGTTACGCTTTTGTAGAAATTGTCCGTGATATTAACAATACCTCTGCACAGGTTTTCATGATTTTGGAGAGTCGGGCTTGGGTATCAACTGCCAAAACCAGTAGTCTATGCTTATATCTTGAGTACATTTTGGAATAGTGTTTTTAAGGTTGATGGGGTTTTTTTGTTTGCTTGTTTGTTTTTTGTTGGTTATTTTTTTCTTTTTTTTTTTTTTTTTTTGCTTTTTTGTGTGCATAATGAAATCTGATCTCTGATTTTTGTTTTAGCAGAAATTCATTTGCTTTAATGGGACTTTCTTTTTAGGTGTAGTTGAACTGTGTTTGAAGGAAGATAGCAAAAAAAAAGTTGATAACTTGATGTAGTTGAACTGTGTTTGAAGGAAGATAGCAAAAAAAAAGTTGATAACTTGATTGAAAGCTCAATATATTAGGTAAAAAAGGAATATGATTACTTTTAAGTAATCACACATTCTGTTGAGAAACTATTGCAATGAAAAGCATGATGTTGGTTGTGCTATAAAATAACCTGTATACAGTTAAATATTTTGTGTGGTGCGAAGAGTTCAAGTTGYATCAACGTTAGCTTTGTTTTGATTTTTTTTTTCTCTGAAGGATTGTTCTGATCTCCTTGCTCATAGGCTCTCTTTTATTTAATTGTAATGCAATTGTAATGGGGTTTGGGGCTTTTTTTCGGGTGGTAAGGAGATTAAATTACTTGCCTCTGGGTTTGACAGCTACGTAAGAAGCAGTATGAGGACACTTTATGTTTCTTCTCYCTCTTTGTCTTTAAACTTTCTGATGACTTTGATTGACATTTTTGTGTGTGCACCGGAGGTTATTTCCTTACATTTTCACTTGAGGAACTTTGTGTCTCTAACAGGAAGTAAGTGCCTTTGGTGATGATGGTGAAGGAGATGACCTGGATATATGGATTGTACAGTGCAGTGGGACACACTGGGAGCGGGATGATGCTGTGCGCTTCAAACACGTGGGGACTGATGTGTTCCTTTCAATAACTGGGGAACAATATGGGCACCCAATTAGAGGCCAACGGGAAGTTCATGGCATGACTACTGCTAATCACCACAACTACTGGAAAGCCATGGAAGGAGTTTTCATCAAACCCAGTATGGACCCTGCAAAACATGATGAGCTCTGAATTGGTCAGAGGATCCAAAATGCTTCTGTTTACTCCAGTGTTGGGAGATGCGAATCCTTGGTCTCTTTTAAGTCCTGCCTTGCCTAAGTGACTGACTTTCTGTATTACTGAAGGGCATTAGTTTGTTCTAGGAATGCAGCACTTCTGTGAGGAATGGCATCTGCCAGGATTAGACCCTGAAAGTTGGCAAAATCCTCCCTGAATTTTGACTTTACTTGTTGAAAATAGTTCACATGTCTGTTAGTTTTCACTGTAATTTGTTTTACTTGTCACTTTCTCTCAAATTCAAAGGAAACGGAAAAATTGAAGTAATGGATTTCTGTAGTCCCAAGTACAATAAAAACTTGTATTTTGTATTTCTTTCTGTTATAATTAAATATTGGAAAACTTACATTGCTTCTTAGAGAGCAATATTAATGAAGAGATGGAGTAAACCTAGAAAGGAGGTTTTTTTTCCTCAAGTATGGTGTCTTTTGAATGATTTTGAGGTGGTGGTTCGGCCTTCCTGAAAAGCATTTATGGTCATTTGAAAATCACTTCCAGTGTCTTTTTTTTTAATGAGTTTCAATGTGTACTATATTGGAGAGTTACAAATATGTATGTTGGAGTAAGAACTTTGTTTTCACATTCTTTTAACCTCATTTTCACCAAGAAGTTCAGATTCTTGCATTTATACCATGGCATTTCTGCTAATTATCCAGTAGTGAGGCTGTCTTGCTCTAACAACTGGGCTAGAAAGATACTGTTTATAAAATCTGGATATTAATTAAACAAACTTCCATGTGGTCTGAAGGAACAGTTGAATCTGGCTTATCTTGTACTTGCATGCCACTTTGCAAGATCAGTAGGAGAATCTAGATGAATAAATAATTGGATATTTACCCATGTGGGTGGGATTTTTTGGGTCTAGAAAAAGAAGTAATCTTGGAGAATGGTAAAGTCCTGGATTTCTGATGGCGTGGTATGTTCTGCAGTGATAACAAGAAATGTGTTTCATTGAACARCTTATCTGAATTTCTGTGCTCCTCTCCCTCTGTAAAAACAGGAACAAAAAATTAACTCTTGAAAGTGTTTGTTAAATAATGCTGGTTAAGATTCAAAATAATATAAAACGTATATTTGCTCTAAAGGGAAAAACTCAGCAAATGAGAGTGAAGAATTAGAAAAGCAGGTGTTACCTCCATGAATAAATGCTTTACTGATTATGGTCTTAATTAGTCAATCAGGTAAAGGAGCAGGTACCTAATTTGCAGCTGCTTTCACGTGCTACAGTGTTAGTCTGAGGGAGCTGTATATACTGAGGAGGTGTAAGAAGKGTTTAAGTTTCACAAATGTACCTGCTGACACGTGCTTCATGCTCTGACCTCTTGTGTAGTTCCRTTGCATGGATTAGTTTAAGTTTTTACTTTAGGGTCTGAAATTAGCAAAAACTCTTCACAGCCTGTGGAACAAGRAGTATCTGCAACAGTTGTTTTGCAGTACCCGGTTGTTGTCCTTCAAGAAAAAGGTAAGATTTTTTTTTCTTTCTCTTTAATTGTTGAATGATGGTTTTAAAGGATTGTTTTGGAGACTAAGTGAATTATATTTTATTGTACTAGAAGCCTTTTCATGCAATGAATGTTTTGACTTAATTGATATTCCTGACAAATTGCTATTGATGTTGCAAACATAAAAGATAAATGCAATGTTTTTCTTCTGTTTAGCAAGCTACCTTTTAATTTCCTCTGTTTAAAAAGAAAAGGTTTTCYTTTGGAGTTGGTATATGTGTAACCACAAAAGGAGTGTTAGTGTTTGGCAGGAGGAAGAAATAACATTTGGCCATGTGATTTGTATTGCTAAGGGCTAAATACTTTCATACCTAAACCATGTTGGCTTAGTGTTTTTTGCACCAGTGGGATTCTGAGCTAATGRAGAAGAGGCAGAGCTTGGTGGTTCGTCTCAGTGTGCTTGCCAGGTGCTACCTCYGCCCAGAAGTTGTCTCTAGTTTTCTATTCCTGGCTGTGGTGTTTGTCAGTTTTGCTAACTTTGCTGAAGTGGAATCTTATTGGACCTTCCTCTTTCTACTTTCTGGACTTGAGATAAACTGAGAGCTGAGAGAAAGCAACAACAACTGCTTGTTTAAGCTGTTAGTGTTTAAGCTTTAAGTCTAATTTAAAAACTTAAATGAGATACCTGTGAACATGATTTCCCTTAACTTTTGTTTCTGAAATCAAATCACTTCAGCTCAATCTTTCAGTTGCTTCTATGTCACAATATTTTTTACACTTCTTACTGCTATGAAACTGCTGAAGGACTCATTTATAAATAAGATGTACTTGAACTAATACATCTTGGTCAGGAAAGGGCTGCTATAGTGCTAAAAAAGAAAAATTGCTCCTTTTACGGTGCTAAATGCAGGCTACAAAGGCTGTGAGTTAAKGCAAGGGCTTATTGCTGTGAAAACGGATGTCTTGTGCAAGTGATAATGTTGTTTCCTTTCTATGTAACTTTTATTTACCAAAACTGTATTGATAACTGCTTTGTGTCTCCTATTATGATTTAAGTTGAAATACTGAGACTTTAGACCCTCTCTCAGGTGTTCTTGTTTTCTTTGGCCACTTGCAAAACACCTTCTCAGTCTGACCCCCACAGCTGAGGACTGGAGATCTAATTGAGTTTATAAAAGAAATGAATTTGTATTGCTGGATCCTGTTGTTTTCTGTGGACTTTCTTTTTCTGACAAAAGGAGATGGGCTGTATATGTGAAATGCTTCCAGCAATGCTCTCTTGTATCTATTGTTTTAAGGGAGTAAACTATGTTTTGTAAGTACTACTCAGAATTCTCTATGCGCTTTAAGGCTAAATCAAAATTAAGTATTTTGTCTACTGATGGTAGGTAGAAAGTAACTTGTTCAAACAATTGACATGCTTCTCAATTTTCTTGATCACTGTGCTGCTGTAAAAACTCAGAAGATGCATCTATGTTGCATATTCTTTATTAAACTAGAAGGGCTTTGGGATAAAATAATAATAAGGATCTTTATCATAGTTCTCAACAGAAATAATTACTGAAGGAAATTCACTTAGTTTGATCTCTATCCTGAATTACATGTGTGTATATATAGAAAAAGCATTTGACAGTTTTCATGTAAAATCATGTAAAAAATCCCATAGATGTGTTAGTTTTTTGGGGGAAGTGTGGGAATGTAAGCATTCTTTTTTATTTTCTGTATTTTTATGTATACCTCCTTTTCCTTGTAAGATGATAAACATACAAACATTTGCTGGGTAGCTCTGAAGGGTGAAGCCAAAGATAAAGCAACTTTTATGTTTGAAAATACTAATAGGAATATTATCAAGAAGTTATGAACAAACATATATTTAAACACCGAACAAGCCAAGAGGGAATGACACTATCACTCTAACCCTGAAACAACAGTGTTTCCTCGACAATACTTCCAACCATGTTCATTCTGCCAAATTCTCTCCATTTTCAGTCTCCTCCTTCAGTGGTTGCCACCATAGACATACGAGGTTTGATAGCGGTGTTAGGTGGAAGCCAAACCTTAAAAGTATTTTATTTTCCAGCAGTAAACTCCTACTAGGTGTCTGCTCCTTTACTGATAATTTTGCCGACTTTTCAGTGAAGTTCCCTGCTGGTACCTGGGAAGCTGATTAAGATCCAGTGGGAGTTTGAGGAATGTAGAGTACTGTGATTCCTCTCTTCCTCTTGTCTTCGGAATTCCCACCTGTGCCGCTCTGTTTTTGCACTTTTCTACTCAAATGTATCTTGCTACAGTCCAGCTGTGGACCCTGTCCAGCACACAGAGTTCCCAGCACAGCCCTTCCCTGCCTGCTCTCGTGTTCTGGACTGTTATGGGAGGGATCTGCTTTTTCCTGCTCTTTTGGGGAAATGATACTCCTTTGTTAGGCTGTTAAATGATGGAATAAGGAGGTGTTAGAAGCTGTATAATGTCTCAAGGGGAACCAAGCAGTCCTGGGACACAAATAATCAGAATATATGTGAGGTTTCAAGGTTTCTGTCATATATCAAATGTGCAAGTGTAGGTTTGTACACCCAGATGATTGTCACATTTTGACTTGCTCTTACCTTGGTGCTTGCAGTGCTCGTTTATGCATTTGCACGAGACTTGTGTGTGAGGGCACAGGTTAGGAGAAGTGCATAGGAGAAGTGAAATAGCAGGGCTACATCTAGTGCACCCCAAAGCCAGCTATGACAACATCTAGGGCTGTGGGACCTTCTCTGCCATGCCCAGGGTTGAAAAGAGGGACCTGCCCAACTTCAGCCCCTGCTCCCTCGCCTTGCAAGTCCCTGCAGCCCCCTGGTGCTCGGCCCCTGCCTCCCATTCACCCTTTCATCGCGCCTAGGAGAGGGCCCTGTGGACCCTCTGCCTAAGAGCCTCTGGGGGCCAGGCCAGCGGCCCTTGGGGGCTGCCGAGGAGAGGACGGGCTCGCGGCTCCCGCTCCCCGCCTCGGCGCGCGGTGCCGCGGCCGCTAGTGCGCGCTGCTGCCCCGCCGTGCTGCGGAGCGGAGCGCGGTGTCCCGCGGCTCTCGGGGCAGCCCCTGCCCGGCGCTTGCCGCCCCTTCGGGGCGCTCCTCGCGCTCTGTCCCCGCCGTTGTGTAAAAGGCGTTAGCGCGGGCTGTAAAGCGCTGCCCTGGGCGTTTCGTTGTCTTACTACAACATCTGTAAAGCGCTTCCCGAACTGGWGTCTCTAGGCTTAAAGTAAATGTTTAAGGCAACTACCTGTATAAAAAACTAGAAGCCGCTTCAGCAGGGGGAGGTGGAGGGTAAAGGATGCTCTGTCCGCGGTCTCAACGCGAAACGTCGCCCTCGGACGAGTCCTTTCCAGGTGGTGACAGATGCGGTGCCCTTCGCGGGTGCAGTTGCCGGGAGCGCAGCCTGGTCCCGGCGCAGCCCCCCGCGTTTCCTCGCCTCCTGCCCGTGTCGTCCCGTCACGGAGCTGCCCGCTCCTCCCGAGCCGCTGTCACCGGCGGGGCTGGCGCCGCCGCTCCGGCCGCAGGCGGGTTTTTCCCGCAGCTCTGCCGGGCAGCGCGGCCTCGGCTTCCCCGCAGCCCCCCGCGATCCCGGGGAGCAGTTTGCGCGGCAGCCGCGGCCGTAGGCAGCGCGATGCTGCCCGCCGGCTCCGCCGACACCGACCCGTCCTGCCGCCTCGGTGCGCCCGCCCTGGTACAGCGGCTCCCTCCGCTCTGCAGTGCTGAACCGCCGCCCCCGCCTAGTGCCCCCGTCCAGATCGCGAGTTTAAAGCCCGGTAGCTCAAGACCTCGGAAGGCTGCGGACAGAAAAGCTGAACTGAACAGTCTGGGAGAGTGGTGCCTCTGCGCACCGGAGAGATGCAGCAACGGGGCAGCGCTCATCTGGCAGCCGGGTCAGGGATCCTCCACGCAGGCACTGCAGGGCACCACAGCCCCCTCGGTCCTAGGATGTCCTCAGGGACAGGGTCTGGCTGAGACCTTCTGCACGCTGCAGAGTGGCAGCTGCGAGGCTTGTGAGAGCTGTTCGTGTCCTGTCCAGATGGACGCGACTTTAGCATCGTGGGGGATGCGACCCAGAAAGGGTCCCAAGGCAGCCCCAGCAGTTCCCTCCCTACCACTGGCAGGGAAACCTCTGTCAATGAGAAAGACAGTGGGGTGACAAAATGGGTTTATCAGCAGTCTAGCCCACCTGCATCTTCCCCCCTTC